AATCAATTTGGGGTTGTTTTTGTTGTCGTCGTTATTGTTATTGTCAGTGTGTTGTTATTGCTCTCCTTCACTCGTTCCTTTTCTTGTTCTTGTTCTTCCCCCATGCATTCTATCGTTCCCCTCTCCTCCAGCGTGCGAGCAAGAAGCCACTCAGTCCATGATTCAGTGTTATGCTGCTATTGACGTCAACCCGGATGCGATCCTGAGCCCTAACGCCTCTATAGCGGACGACAAGTACACGATAGTCGGGACCAATGAGACGCAGTATGAGAACTTCTGCAAGTAGGTGCTTATGGCGTCGCTGGCGTTGTTGTGGTTGTTGGTTTTTGTTGTTGTTGTTGTTGTTGTTGCTGTTGTTGTTGTGGTGGTGGTGGTCCATTCTTTGTTGCTTCTGTTGTTGTCATCATTATTGTTTGTTGTCGTCGTTATTGTTATTGTTGTTGTGGTTGTTATTGTTGTTGTTTTTCGTTGCTGCTGTTATTTTTGTCTTTTTAGTAGTTGTTGTTTTACCGGATCTACTTTGACAAAAACCACATTTCCCAAGGGTGTTGTTGTATTACGAGACAGTCACATTTGGCACAGATCTGTTCTTCTGGTTTTCGATCGCATCACACTTGGAAGTCCGGTATCTATACTGGGCTGTGCTGCTCAGTTCGTTTGTCAATACGTACAAGTTCTCTTGCAGTGTCAATAGGGTTGGCCACGTTGCCGCCTCAGGGCCCTGTGTGGAACGTAGATACTGGATTAGTGATATCTATCTATCTATCTATCTATCTGTCTATCTATCTATAAAACACATATATGATAACAACAACAACAACAACAACAACAATAATAACAACAACAACAACAACTACTACTACTACTACTACTACTACTACTACTACTACTACTACTACTACTACTACTACTACTACTACTACTACTACTACTGCTGCTGCTGCTGCTGCTGCTGCTGCTGCTGCTGCTGGAAACATTCTCGGCTTTTGCGCGAGCGAGTGAGTTCGTGTTGTGTCGGTACATGAGTGGTTTTGCCGTAAATGACGCTCAGGAGACTACCCGCTGAAGGCTGAAAATCGTTTCACCGCAAATTGTGTTCAAACACTTACACAGTAGTTACAAGATGGATCATTTTGTAAACACCTCTGAAACATAATATTAATGTAAACGCGCACAAAGTGTCATTGAGGACTCGGGAAGACTACATTTATGAAGTATACTGTGGTCTAAGGGTAACGTTTCCAGCAAGGTTATGGGCGACTCAAGAAATCTGTTCCAGAACTACCAACTGTTGTGAAAGTTTTCAGTTCTTTTGGCCAACACCTTCGCTCTCCATCACCGAACATATTCTTGTTCCTAAGAAAACTCATCGACCAGCAGCAACTAACAAAGCTGAAACTGAATGCAATAAACTGCAAATAAACAGCCCCTATTAGGCCATCAGTACTTACTAAGAAAAAGAGATGGACCGAAACAATAGAAAAATACAATACAAGGGAAATCAACATCGAGAAATATATCAAGTACATGAGATTCAAGTTTTTTAAAAATAACTTTGTGTTTCTACAGCATCCAAGTCCCACCTCTCCGTTGGTGAGTAGGGATAAACTGGCAACGTACTAAATTAGTTGTATTCGAATTCCATTTGCGGGGAAACGATAATTCTTATTTTCCACAAGTAAGCGCTGGGGCGTCATTGGGGTGAAACGTTGCATTCCCATTTTTGGGTGATTGTGGGTTTATGTGTGTGTGTGTGTGTGTGTGTGTGTGTGTGTGTATGTATGTGTGTGTGTATGTATGTGTGTGTGTGTGTGGGTGGGGGGGGGGGGTTCAGTTTGCTGTATAAACATATGGGTATATGGGTAAATAGACTAACTGTGTTTAATTAAAGGCCTGGGTG